TGCTGTCGCTGTTGCTGTTGCTGCTTGCCGGCACGACAGGAGAAAAACACCGCGCCATGAAACGCCCACAGCAAGAAACTTTGCTCCGAACGTATGTACGACATCACTACATCACGAACGGACACAAAGTGGCACCCACGCAGTGAACATACGGGGAAAGACCTTCATGCCGTACTCCCTACACGCCGCACCTTACCAAGGTACAACAATTTCATACCGAAATCCCCCTCCGTCACCAACTCGTCTATGCATTTGCAACGCGCCTTCACCCATAGAATCCAAGAACGATGGCCGACCTTGATATAACGTGTAACGGCCTCACGGCCGGAAATCTAGGCGCGTTCTAACTAACGTACGATATGTACGGGCGACCGTGCATCCGGCGTCACTCACCGGCAGCGGAAGACGATGTGAGCTTGACTGCGTTGATTATAAGCGTTGACAACGGTGAGACTCCGACGGCGAGGCGCCGTCGGCGTTAGGGCGACGGCGACCTCGCCGCCGGCGAGAAGGCGACGCGATGGCGAGACGCCGGCGGCGAGACGGCGACGGCGAGAAGGCGAGGCGAGGCGCCGTCGGCGTTAGGGCGACGGCGACCTCGCCATAGGTGAGAAGGTGACGCGATGGCGTGGCGCCAGCGGCCGGCGAGAAGGCGAGGCGAGGCGCCGTCGGCGTTAGGGCGACGGCGACCTCGCCAAACGTGAGAAGGCGAAGCGATGGCGAGACGCCGGCGGCCGGCGAGAAGGCGAGGCGAGGCGCCGTCGGCGTTAGGGCGACGGCGACCTCGCCATAGGTGAGAAGGCGACGCGATGGCGAGACGCCGGCGGCGAGACGGCGACGGCGAGAAGGCGAGGCGAGGCGCCGTCGGCGTTAGGGCGACGGCGACCTCGCCGCCGGCGAGAAGGCGACGCGATGGCGAGACGCCGGCGGCGAGACGGCGGCCGGCGAGAAGGCGAGGCGAGGCGCCGTCGGCGTTAGGGCGACGGCGACCTCGCCAAAGGTGAGAAGGCGACGCGATGGCGAGACGCCGGCGGCGAGACGGCGACGGTGATGAAAATGGCATGACGGTGACGGCTGAGGGGGATCCGGGGATTCGGGCGGGGATGACGTGGTTACATACACACTA